CTGCAAATGTCATGCTTGTCACCTATTAACAAATTAACTTGATTCCATGTTATTCCCTGAATAATCACCTTGGAAATGGGCAGAGGACCTGATTCTAATATGGGAATTAAAAAGAGGTTGGTTTAGTTCTTTTTAGTTATAGTTCTGCCACTACTTGACCATTTGACCTTAGATAAGCTTCTTTTTTACTCTGAAGGTCACTTTCCTGTATAATAAAGTGATTGAAGTAAATGATGTTAAGGTTCTTTGAGTCCTAGCCTTTCTATGTGTTTCTCAATAACCTGATATCCAAAAAGCACAAAATAACAAAGAATCTATATGTTTCAATCATAATATATACAACAATGTGTATGTGCTTCTATACTATTCTACTCTAAGTTTTTAACTAGATGTGTGTATTTATAAAATTATCTATCTGTGGAAAAGGCATGAACAGAATATCACTGGTCTTCTAATACTAGTTGCATTTTTTAAAGTTCACTATCATGTGTTTAAGACATCCACAACCACAAACAAGGTGGCTATAAACTAGGTTTAGTGGGGAAGGAAGTGTGTAAATGTCTGCACATGCCATCTCTAACCACTCTTCATGACCTCAGCCTTCTTTAACTAAGTTTTCTAAGACCTATTTTTGTCTCTGAAACAAAAAGGTCAAGGTTTATCTCTTTAAAATGTATTTATCACAAATTTGTCTGACTTGAGGTAACTTGAAAAACATGAATAGCATGATAAAATAAGTATCTGGTAGAGAAATAAGAGCAAAGGGGAGAGCTAGTTAGCCCAATAAGGCTGAGTGAATTCTTTTTGATTATCTAGGAAGTTGAGAAATAAAGCCTAGAAGCACTCCAGGTTCCACTATTTATATGGTCTAGCATATAAGGAGGTCTGCAGCCTATGAAGACCCCCTCACATCCCCTCATTTATAACACTCTACATTAACTTCCCTGACAACTTTCTTAGTTAGACTTATTTAGAATTATATGCACATCATGAGATTTTCACCATTCTTGTGACCAAATTGATGAAAAGTGTAAAAGGTTCTGGCCCAGGTTGGGGGACCTTTCTTCAGGTTTTGGGAAACTTCCTTGGAATTCACAAAGAAGTGAGGAAGGAATTGGAATTTGTAGCTTTGAAAGAAATGCAGTGTTTACTTTCTAAATTTCCTTTTTTGTTTTTTAGAAAAAATCACAAAACATTATATCTGAAATGCATATACCTAATATGTATGTGCAGTTCAGGCGTTCACTGGTAAATATTGAGCAACATGCTTCCAAAGTGACCAGATACAAAGAAAAGTGCTGACATCACAAGCTGTGAAGGGAGGTGAAGGAAGAGTGGGTTTTGCCGAGGAAACCTAATCTTTTCAAGGTTAGGGGTTAGGAGAGTGGGGCAATGGGAAAGAAACTATAGGATCATATTTTCTGGTGACTGTCTTAGCCTTTTTAGGCTATTATAACAAAAATACCCTAGACTGGGTAATTTATGAACAATAGAAATTTATTTCTCACTGTTCCGGAGGCTTGAAGTCCAAGATCAAAGTGCAAGGAGGTTTGATGTCTGGTGAGGGCCTGTTCTCATAGGTGGCACCTACTCTGGTCTGCACAAGGCATGGGGCAAGGCAGATCCCTTCACCTCTTGTGAAGTCTGACCGAATCACTTCCCAAAAGGCCCTACTTCTTAATACTGTCACATTGGGTTTCAACATATGAATTTGGGGCAGGGGATAAGATACCAACATTCAGATCATAGTAATGA